CTTGTCACTTGTCGCGTCATTGTTGAATGTCCTGGATGTGTCTAGTTCCTGCCTGCCTTTTTGTCCTGGTTCCTGTGGGCGTGTTTTGACCCTTTGGCACTTTTGTTTTCTACCTTTTGACTATTAAAGTATTTTTTGGTTTAAAGTCTGCGTTTGAGTCCTGCCTTCCCCGTATCCCTGACATCCATCCTCCATCCTCCATCATCATCCTCCATCCTCCATCATCCGTCCTCCATCATCATCCTCCATCCTCCATCATCATCCTCCATCCTCCGTTCTCCTCTGGTGGACTCCTCAGAGAGAGAGCACCTTTTTATACAACTGCACTGTATATGTGAGAAGGGACGAGAGGATCAATAATCACATTTTAACTGACGAGGAAGAGAAGAGGTGCAGGTGGAAATGATTCAAAGTGATCACAAAGGCGAGCGTCGTTATAACAAATCACAGCTCCACAATAACCGAGTAAAGATAACGAACACAAGGCGTAACCCCCCACGGTGGGATCCCAGCCGCAGGTTAAACCTTTAATATCACGTCATCAACTGTAGCACACCAGTGAAGTGGATTCTCTCAGCTGTAGATTTGCCCTCTGAGGTGGGTTCACATTCACATATGGCGTGTTAATTCTGGACGCCCGACCGTAGCTTTAATTAAGCAGCACATTTATTAAAAAGGAAGGAAGCGCCGCTCGGTCGTGCTGCGTAGGAACCTGGCTGATTGGAGCAAAAAGGACTCTGGCTAATGAAGGATTATTGCAGCTCAGCTTTCATATTGGAGAAGTTTATTTCAAAAGTACAGCTTTAGATCCACCGGAACAACTTGAAATGCTCATTAAATAAAACCCCGTCATGTGATATTAAGCCGTTTTAACTTCTTTTCTGGAGAGAATAGGTCACAACTATAAAAACGGGCGTCATTGGGAAAAAGAAATGACTTCATTTGAGAAGAGCAAAGAGCATTTGATCAAAACCACCACGACTTAAACTTCCCGTGTGGACGTCTCCTGGGAGACGCTGCTCTACTCATCAGACACGGCGCTTTTAATTAGTACCTTGGAGGTTTCTCATCAAACGTTTTACCCAAGACCCGGGAGCCAAAAGTGTAAAATATGAAATCTGTATGTGTATATATACATGTATCAAACATGTGATGTGGTGAAGGGGAAGAATAAGTTAGATCGGCATTGATAACGGTGAATAAGTGCAGTTATTGGGGGCTCTGTCACAGTTTATATGACATAATCAACACGCACAACACAAATGTTTCAAATAAGTGTAATTTGGTCGCAGTAGGATGATGTAGCCGCTACTATCGATGGGGACGATATATATTATACAAAAGAGAAAAATCACAAGACAGAAGTGAGAGTTGGACTAAAGTAAAGCACTTTATGCTCGTTGCCCCGGTGACCCGATGACCTGGTGACCCGGTGACCTGGTGAATGAAACCGCCCGCTGACCATCATTTGCTAACATCCTACAGCGTAGAACGCGGCGCTACCCGGCGGCGCTAGCTTCTGAGGCTACCGCGCGGTCGGCGCTCGACGTGCGTCTCTTTTCGTGTTATTCATGTTTCCTTCTCGTGCGCGGAGGCGTCCGCTTCATCTGCTGAGCTACAGACAATGAAAACGTCCTTCACCTGGAGGACGCGTCCTTCACCTGGAGGACGCCTTCCAGCGAGGACAGACGGTCTACGTTCACCACACGTGTGCATCTACACATCAGGCTGCAGAAAGAAAAGCAAGATCACAAACGTGTAAAAAGGTCCGGGCCGAAAATAATTTGTAGCTTTACTAAATAAAAGCGTACGTCACTTTATATGAAGTCATTGAAGTGACGTTATG